TATATATATAACTTCTCTGGTTTTGCATGTCAGTTTTCGTGCATGATATTCTGCATCTCCAGATTTGGATAGGGGAAAGAATTGGCAGTAGGGCAATTCACATTGACAGTGAAATGTCTCTTGTGCATTCTTGAGCTCACATGCTAAAGAAATTGGTATTAATTAAAGGCAGAAAATTTAAATGTCTAACACAGAAATTTGCGCAGTTTTGTTCACGGAAGGCTACTCATTGCTTCAGATAGAAAACTGGGACTGTGAGCCACAGATTGTTGATCCCAGCCAGAAAGGAAAGCTAGGTCTTCTCAGGTGTGGAACACCTGGTATTTTTGACAGCCTTGAAGAAAAAAAGCACATTTGTAACAGTGAAGTATGGATGTTTTCATACTATGCATTAGCATTGCGATATATAAATGACAGTGTAGTATGTAATAGACAAACATGAATGCAGAGAACCTTTAGTAGATTGGCTTGCCTCTTCTTCATATGGACCTGCAAAAGTTCTTCTGACTCCTTAGTCTGTCTTGGGTAAAACACCATGTTGCTATACTTTCATGGATTCTTAAAGAGCTGAAGAATGCAGTCAATTCCTAGGATGTATTAAAAATTCATGTTTATGCATGCCATCTTCAGGAGCAAAGGATTTGCTTACATTTTGACCATGAATCAAAATTTTATCAACTCTTGTAGTTATCTGAAATAGGAACCAGATTGAGAAGTTTTTATTTCTTTGGCCTGTTGAAGTAATGTAATGTGATTGGAATGTTCTTGCTGTTAAGGTATTTTTCTTGCCATAGACATTCCTTGGATGAAGGAGGTAGTTGTCATTGTCATGATAGTTGTTGATAACCCTCTTGCTATTTTTAGCTGAAAACTCAAGAAGGAAGGCTCTCAAAATACATTTTGTGGTTATCTCCTGTGGAACATTTCTTATAGAAATACTTCCTGACTAGGTAGACATGAACAAGAGGTGCCACGTAAATCACAAAAAACTCAGATGCTACAAAAGTATCTGGAATTGTAAGAGAGACAGTTGATAATACATTCAGTAAATTAAAGGAGTTCAAGCTATTTAGGGCTAAGCTTAGATCCAAGAAAAATGACTTGCTATTGATTTAGTGTTTAATCTATTGGTAAGCTTTTTTTGGAGTAATGTTATGTACCTGCTATTTCTTTTTGTTTCAGCTATGTCAGCCTGTTAAAAGACTTTGTTGAGTCTGAATTCTTTGTGATAGATGGAGATTCCTTGCTAATTATGTTTATAGATACGGAAACACAATATCTAAACTTCTTCTACCAAATTGAATGCTTCCTGCAGGATTTCACAGAAAAAGGAGCAAAATATGTCATTACTTTCTTCAAGGTACTGAACAAGTAACATTTGTTTGCTGTTTAAACCACTGCATTCCTTCTAAACCAACTGCTTGATTCTAATCGGGATTAGGAAACTGTTCATTGTGGCAACAAATGTAACTGAGTAATTTCTTTGTTTTTATTTCCCACAGGATGCAGAACAGATGTACTTTTCATATCCTCATTTTCTTTTCTTACGTACTGCATTAATAGAACACCTGAGGCATAACACATGCATCACTGTCCATACAGAATTTTCCAATTGTTTATCATACAAATGGGAACTTTTCCTGAAGCAAAGCTATCCTTACTTCATCATCGTATCTGACATAGGACTGACCCATCTCCAAACAAACTTTTTATCTACTATAATTGCTCATTCATTGTCAAAGAAAGTCAACGTTGTGCTTACTTCAGGGCAGGAGTATGATATTATTAGAGTTTATGGATATCACATTCAGAGTGTATATAAACACAGATTATTTTTTCAAAAGGTAAGCTACAAGCAATTTATTGTTGGTTTGCAGTAACAGTGTTACTTTGATTTAGAAGATTTAATTAAAATATCTCAATATGAGTATTTTCAATTTACATATCAAAATTATAACGCATTGATATATGGCTCATTTTATTTTTCTTTAATCTACTGGTCTTGAAATCCTTAACAGGTAAACATTGTGATTGGTGGCAAATTCTTGTCTTGTTAGCTATCCTTCGCTTAAGTCTTAGTTGACTTGTAATATGCCAGACAAAGACTAGTGGGGCCAGGACGTGATTTTAAAAATTTTATTTAGCTGTTTCTTGGGGGCTGAGATTGACTTATAACTGAATGGTTTCTTTCTGTGGCTAGTAGTCCCTAATGCATTTTATCTATTTACTTTTGCATATAACTTTGACTTCTGCGTTTCTTAGTATGAAAAAGATCTGCGACATGCCTGGGAAAACCTAGTCAGGTACAAAAAACCTTTCATGTGTCTATATGAACATCTCAAGCTGAGCCTGAACAGCGTACAGAAAGAGGTAATTTGACCTCTTTGATCCTCCTTTTTTTTCTTTTTCTCCTTGGATTGACTGTCTTTCTTTGTTCCTTTACCTGAAACTCTCTTTTAACCAGAAATGGGGACTATCTTCATTATCCTGAAGTGACACGCTGAGTCTGAGAAGGTGTCCTCCATGGCCACTCTACTTCACAGCAGCTTGAAGCTTGTTTCTTTCTTTAAAGTTCACTAAAGCAGGGTGATTCAGCTGGAAGCTGATCAGTGGGATACCACTTAAGGGATGTTTCCATCTTAGTGAATGCCTTTGTCTTGATGAAAACCAGGCCATTCAGCAGAAAACATCATTTGTGGAATAATTACAACTTCAGCCATTGTGGGGGCTGCAGCTACTACCCTCTTGGTGCACTGTGGCCATTATCTCATCCCCATGGCAGAAGTGGCAGCCCAGAGTTGGTGCTGCTGCCCACAGCAACCTTGTCTATAGGGGGACATCTTAAAATCTAAACCTCACTATTAAAGCTGCTAAGGTTTGCAAACTTGGCTGACTAGTCACAAGCTGGGATTTTTTTTAAAGAGTTTGATTAGAGTTACAGGTGCTTGCATGATTAAACCAGTGGTTTTACAATATTTTAACTTCAAAAAAATTGCGATTTTAATGGTTCCATAGTCACCTTCAATGCCTAATATATTCTGTCCATTTTCCTGAGCATAAAGTTACACTGCTTTGTTGCAGCCTTACCTTTTCTCCTTCAGAGAACAATAGCAAGACTTCCTTGGAAATTATACTAGTCTAGCAATGTGATTTCTTTCTTCCAGAAAAATTATGGTGTTACTGAGAGAGCATTTTAAAGCCTGGCTACTGCCGATACTTTGTTTTATCATGATTATCTTGTCTGAGGCTCATTCAGTATTTGAATACCAGAGGAGCAGAAAAAAATCAGGGCACAGCAAGAGCAGATGGCTGCTCACTCAGGGCTGGGGCTGTGGGAGGTCCCATGGGGCAGGACAGGGTCTGGGAGGCATGGCCTGTCCCACTGCCCCAGTCAAGAGAAGGACAGCTGGGGGCAGGTGCAACCCTGAGCATCAGGCACTTCCCTGGGAATGGGCTGAGGCCAGAGCAGGTTGTTAGCCTGTGAGGTGTGATGAGCTGGAGACCAGCACGGCTGCTACATTGCTGGGGCAGTGACTGACAGCCCCAAGGGGCTGAAATGAGGCCCTGGGCAGGTGGGAGGATGCCCCAGGGCTTGGGTAGGGACAGTCAGGGCTTTTGGTGTCTTCAGGGACAGGATAAAAATGGGCTATTTTTACTAATGATTGTGCCTACTTTTTCTCCTGTAGTTTTCATATCCTTTTTTCTTTTCCCCTTCTCTTACGGAAACCTTTTTCTTGAAATTTTTATTATGGCAATAATTTATGATATCAATAATGTTATGACTACAGGTTTGCCAGGCTATCTGTTTGTTGAAACAACTGTGGCCTGAAGGATCTGACATTCGGCGTGTAGTCTGCGTTCTTGCTTGTGCCGTGGGGTTAAAAATATACAGTACCATGTTGGAAAATGCAAATACTGCCATGGGAGCAAACAGAGAGCAATCAGCAAAGGTAAGAATGTTTTTAAATATCTTTTCAGCATGGTGACCCTAAGCATTTTGGTAACAGGAGAGATGGCTGTTCTTCTAGATCTCAAACTGAAGAGTCCCAAATGCTTCCTTTGTGATTAAACCCTTTTAAGTGGTTTGGGTCTGATAATTCCTGCAGTCACAGCTTTTCAAAGGAGCATGATCTCTTTGTGGATGGTACTGGCCCCCCTGCCACAGTGGCTGTTCCTGGGAAAAATTTTACCTTAGGTACAATTACTTTCATAGAAAATTTTACTTTGGTAAGGTAAATGTGGTCATTATTTTTATTTTCCTAACATTCAGTGACATACTGACTTCTATGGAACAATATGCTAGACATTTCAGAAAAAAAAAGGGTTGTCTCTACAAGTGGTCATTTCTGTGAACATACTGCAAGCCTTGTGTTTTCATCAAGTTAACACAGATGCAATATATCAGTCATTTTATGGTACATGTATTCAGTAGACTACAGGATAGCTACACGTTGTTAGCAGAGATCAATTTCTGTACAGACCTTTCACTGTGCAGTTGAGAAAAGAACATAGGCCTATATCTAGATATTGAGTTTTCCTCTTCATAAGATTTCTAGCCAGAGACACTGACAATTGCTTTAAAATTTTGTCTTTGTTTTCATAGTCATATTTCTCTTCAGAAAGAGATTTATTTTTTTTAAGTTATAACTGATCTGCATCTACCAGCACTACAAGAATGTTTGCTTTGAAACGTGTCTACAAGTAACTACTACGTTCAGATCGTTTAAATAGATCAAAATTATGAGGTGCTTAACAAAGTGCAGACCACTGAATTAAATAGTGGTAAACACAATTATTTTACTGAAGGATGTGATCAACTTTTTATCTGTCATGTCTCAACAGAGAAGAAGTAAACCCCTGTCTCCAGAAGAAGCTGCTGACCTCTGCAGAATGCAATGTCTTACAGTGACTTTTCTTCTTCATATGCCTCTTTCACAGAGAGCTCAGATTAGGAACATGAAATCCTCCTGGACTAAGCAAGTTTTACCATTATTAAAAATGGTATGTATAGCGTCTTACTTCCCCTGTCATAAGGTGCAACTGCAGTTTCAGTTTTCATTTCCCTTTATACGCTACTTTAGTCATCTGATGAGATTAAAGAAAGTAATGTACCTGCTGGAAACAAACCTTTTGTTTGTTTCTGAGGCTGAGATACTGAATGCCTTCTTTGCTTCAGTCTTCGCTATCAAGGCCAGCCCTCAGGAATACCTGACACAGCTGACCAGGATAGAAATAGAATCAGAATCATAGAATCATCAAGGCTGGAAGATACCTCTAAGACCATTGAGTCCAACCATTAGCCTGCCACTCTGCTTTAACCCCTAAACCATGTCCTCCAGCACCAGACCCAGATGCCTCTTAAACACTTCCAGGGATGGTTACTCCACCACCAGCCTGGGCAATCTATTCCACTGTCTGACCACCCTAACAGTTAAGAAGTTTTTCCTAAAGTCTAATCTGAATTTCCCCTCTCTCAGCTTGTGACTATTCCCTCTAGTCCTCTCCCTGCAGGCATGGCAGAAGAGACCATCCCCCACCTCTCTGCAACCCCCTGTCAGGTAGTTGTACAGAGCTATGAGGTCACCTAAGCTGCCTCTTCTCAAGGCTAAACAAACCCAATTCCTCAGCAAGTTTGCTGATGATACAAATGTGGAAGGAGTGGTCTATACTCCAGAGTGCTGTGCAGCCCTCCAGAAGGATCTCAACAGGTTGGAGAGATAGGCAAAGAGGAACTGTCTGAAATTCAACAAAGGCAAGTGCAGAGTCCTGCACCTGGGGAAGAATAACCCCATACAGCAGTACAGAATGGTGCTTTCCGACCAACTGGAAAGCAGATCTGTGGAGAAGGACCTGGGGGTCCTGGTGGACAGCAAACTGTCCATGAGCCTGCAGTATGCTCTTGCAGACAATAAGGCCAATGTTATCACAGGATGCATTAGGAAGAGCATTGGCAGCAGCTGGAGCAAGTTGATCCTGTCCTTCTACTCAGCCCTGGTGAGGCTGCATCTGGAGTGCTGTGTTCAGTTCTGGGCTCCCCAGTACAAGAGAGATGTGGAGCTCCTGGAGTGGGTCCAGTGTAGAGCAACAAAGATGACTAAGGACTGGAGCATCTCTCTTATGAGGAAAGATGAGGGAGCTGGGCCTGTTCATGCTCAAGAAGAGACAACTGAGAGGGAACCTTGTCAAAGCCTCTCTGAAGGGAGAGTGTCAAGAGAATAGACTCAGGCTCTTCTCAGCGGTGTGAAGCAATAGGACAAGAGGCAGAAACTTATGTGCAGGAAGTTCCAACTGAATATGAGGAAGAACTTTATATTGTGGGTGACCATGCATTGGAACAGATTGCCTAAAGAGGTTGTAATGTTTGTCTCACTGGAGATATTCATGGTGGCCCTTTCCAACCTTACCTATTCTGTGATTTTGTGAAACCTAACCTGGTTGAGGAACTTTGTGAGCCACAAATGAATGGGGCTAGTAGAATGTTTTGGGCAAGATCTCTATATTGACCTCTTATTGGACATTTCCAGTTAGCCAGCATTAGTGTTAGGGTACTGGGCTAGATGGAATATTTAGACTCATCCAGTATGGGAAGTTTGATGGCAAGGATTTTTATTGTTTAAAGTTGGTTATTGCAATGAAGGAGAACCGTGAAGGCAGCTTTCTGATTACAGAGAGGTCAAGTAATAGTGTGTTGTTTTTCATGTCAATGAAATCTGTGGTAGCTAACCTTTCTTTGGAGATGCTTTGATACCTCCACATGTAAAGGTGCTCCATAGGAATTAATTGTTTGCTTTATTTTAACAGCAAGAGTTGTGTATGCATTTTGCTCTGATACAGCTAAGTGACACAAATGATTGGAAATTGGATTTAACTTACCTGCCTGATTTAAATGATGATCCACTGCTCATGAATCTTGCATGTTACTATGAGATCGAATATACTGAAGGTATTTATCACTGTTGAACATGTTTTTTTCTTCTTTGTTTTACTTTAATAAGCTGCAAAATGGGAATGAAATGGCTTGTACAAACAGAAATGAGCACAGTTTTCTAATGACCCATATAATAATATATACATTTCATGGAATAATATGGAATTTCTTTTCTATAGCCAAGCTTAGAAAATCACATGTGCAAGTGTCTTTCACCAGTACTCATTCAAAATACATCATGTCATATCTTCGATGTGCCACCTGTACTTTTACATAGGAAGAGTGATTTCTGGTTCACTGTTACTGGGTATTCTCAGCTGTTTTGGGTTTTTTTTTTGAGCCAGTTTTGTATTAATTTCATTTTGTCTTAGTGCTACACAGACAGAATGGAAACTAGATTTTTCTCCCTATGGTTGCTGTGACATTGAATCATACTTTTAATTTCAGATGAGATTGATTCAGACAAGATCATACGTTGTCTTAAAAATGCATGAATTTGGGAGCTGAAGCTTTATGAACACCATCAGATGTGTTGAGATTCACAAAAAAGTTACAAAAGCTGACAGAGCAAGAAAGTATGGAAAAAGATTTGTAGCAAATGTTCTTTCAGAGCAATTCTGTTTCTGTGAAATCCTCTGCCATGAGTCTTGTCTGTGTGGTAGTAAACCAGAACACTTTATGAATTTAGTTACCAGAGGTCCTGTATGTACTCAGTAAAGTAAGTGTAGAGCAATTTTTAAAGGAAATGTAAATTAGGAATATGAAACATTTAGTTTTCTAATGACACCTATTATTGGGTGCCAAAGAAAACTGCCAGTTAAAGAGTCTACCTTGAAGGAGGTCAAGGTGAGAGAAAGTCTTTTTTAGCTGTAGAGCTTGCAGACTTTCACAGGCAGTCTAAATCTGGCGGGTTTTTTTCCAAAATACATCTTCTCAGTACATTAATTATCCATACCCTGGGCTATTAAAAACTGCAAATATACAATATTCTGTTCTAATTTGTCCCAGTGACCAAAGACCTTGTGTAGAAGTGAAGTCTTTGTGCCTGATGCTTCTTAGGCAAGTTTGGTTTGAGTAAACTCAATTTTAAGGCACCTTTTGTTAATTTTTTTCCTTTCTTTCCTTGCTGTCCAGGATTAGAGTTCCAAAAGGATTTGGGGAAAGAAATGGAGAACGACTACCAATTTTTATGGGACACTGTAGCAAAACTGTGTGTGAAGTACAGTTTTGGAGATGCTTTCCCAATACGAAAAACTTCCCAACTATTTCTTGAAAAGGAGCAGACTCTTTTTAGAGGTACTAGCAACTCCACATATTAGAGTGTTAAAAGCATGGTCTTCTAGAAGTTCTAGGAGTAGTGAGCTGATTTTATTATGATCACAAATCTAGCCCATGCTTCGTGGATCTTCTTCTCCATCCTTTCAACCCACTAGCAAAACTCACAGCTGATGCAAAAAGAAGTCTGACCTGGCCTTGTGGGTAAAATTCTGACTCCACTGTGGACAGCACAAGTATTGTAATTAACTTAATTGGGAACTGGGTTTAGCTGCATGACTGCTAGGCCAAATCTGTTTTATGTATTGTGAAAAAACATTAGAAGTAGTGTAATACGCATAATATTAAAAACCATAATAGGTGGTCATATTTAAAGTAACAGTCATGCTGCAGGAAGGCTATCTCTGCAGAACATCTTTGTGCATGTTGACGTAGGGTTATGCAGGTATTGTTATGGGAGCAGCAAATTAAGTGAAACATAGAATTGTTGCACTAATGTTAGAGAATCCAGCCATCACTGTAGCTCACTCTGCAATTCTTGAAGGTTTTAGAAATGTGACTTGCCCATAATTGTCTTAAATTATACCATCATCCTATTTAGTAGCCCATGATTGGGAAAAAGCATGATTGGCTCAGAGATTGTTTTCTTCCCTTACTTACAATACCTGTTCTGATTATCTGAAAGGATTAGGTAGTTTTTTTCCTGATATCTGACATTTCTTGAGAACCAGCTTTGTTACAACCTTCCAATATATGTTCCAGTGGACAAAAAAAAAAAAGAGTTTTTTTGCATTGCCTATTTCCATATCTCCTTTGGACAACCTGAAGACTGAAATTGTGCCTGGACTTCAAATGTGGGAAAGTTGCACAATGTTATTTGTCATCTTTAATCATCTAACTAAAGTGCCATTGAAAGTGTATATTTAGAAGACTCTGATCTTTATGCAGTAGGAGGAGAAACTTAGATGCCTGTGAGATGGGATGGGTTGTAGCATTTGAAAAGTTAGCACAGGTGTCTAAAATGGATCACGAGAATATCTACTTGAAAGCAATACTGATGTCTGCTTCATTCTTATTTCCATGCTTGAGAAGAAAGAGGAAAAGGAGAACTATTGAACAGCTTCTTACTTCTAGTAAATTTTAATTTAGTGAATTTGATTTATAATGTAACATGACAGAATCTTCAAGCATGAAATGCAATCATATATATTCTTAATTAAACTATTAATTTTTTTTACACTGTAAAGTCTATAAAGAAGAAATTCCTAACATTGGACTAATCCCAGTTAAATCTGAACTTGTTGAAGATTATGCTGGAGATGTTTTGAAAGACCTACCTGTTTTAAAAAGGTACCTATAGATGTTTATTCTAATGAAATAACATTATATGGGCTTATTTTCTGCTGCCCTGTACTTTGCATCCATATTATGCTAAATTTTGACAAATGTAGAAATGTTTTTTGCTATTCCTTGTTAAAATTTCAGATTTACATTTGCATATATTTGTGTAAATGTTAACAGGGAGTTCAGAACAAGAATGTCAATATATCCATATTATCTCATACTTTTTTGTTTGCATTATAGTCTTTGATTCTTAGTCTACATTCTGAAACAGTTTTTCTAAATGTAAAATTTATATTTATATTTATATATTTATATGACGAGTATTTTGTAGCGTGTGCAAGTTATGTAGTGACATCACATTCTATGATTAATCTGTATGAAAAGAAGTGAAAAAAAATTTGGATTTTACTTTGTATTTCTTTCAAAAAAACTGAGGTTATCCTGGCACACTATATATAGAGTAGAATTAAACCCACTGTTGGTTTTCTGACATAGTAAAACTGTGTTTTGATAAATACCCGATTTTTGAGTGTTTCTCATTTTTATTTAGAGAAGCCAGAAAACACTTTTAATTTGTGCTGTCTTTAATGTTTATATATTTCAGCAATGACCCTGCAGTTACCTCACTTACCAAACACAGGGAATTCAATGAACTTCATCACTGGCATTCTACCAGACTTCTGACTGAGGAATATGACCGAGTACGTTGCAATGCCGATGGTAAGAAAAATTAACACAAAGCCCATGGGTCTGTATTGGCTAAAACAGTATCGTGGTTTGGCAGAAGGACTTGTTGTTTCAGAAAACATCTACAGGTGTATAAATATGTGCCAAAGTGGAGCTAGTGCAATAGACAAATTATTCTTAAACTGATGTGGATTTTGTGTACACACACATTATATGTATGAATTGTGTACGATATGAAGTGCTAAATCTGTTATACTTGTTAGAGCTATTTGTGGTCAGATAGTCATCAGTTATTCCCTTTTGCTTGCTGAATGCTTCACAGATTTATATAAGCAAGCTGTATGTATGCATGCATTTTAATGTTACAAGACAGTTTGGATAATGCTTAGTAAGCACATCCACATATGTGCAAAATCTGCTCAGACGGTTGCAGTGCATGCATAGCCAATCTTATCTTTTGAGAACAGAATTAAAATAAGCAGTAAAAGAAATTGTGGTTTAACCTCAGTCAGTAGCTAAGCAACACAGCCACTTCCTCCCCCCCTCACTCTCCAATCACTCACTCCCCTCAGCTTCAGTGGGATGGAGGAGAGAATCAGAAGGGTGAAAGTGAGAAAACATGTAGGTTGAGATAAACACAGTTTAACAGGTAAAGCAAAGGCCATGTGCACAAGCAAATCTAAACAAGAATTTCATTCAGCACATCCCATGGGCTAGCAGGTGCTTAGCCATCTCCAGGAGAGCAGGGCTTTGTCATGCTTAACAGTTACTTGGGAAGACAAATGCCATCACTCCAAATTTCCTCCACCATCCTTCTTCCCCCAACTTTTATTGCTGAGCATGACACCATATGATATGAAATAACTCTTTGCTCAGTTGGGATCAGAGGTCCCAGCTGTGTCCTCTCCCAACTTCTTATGCACCCCCAACTTAATTGCTGGTGGGGTGGTGTGAAAAACAGAAAAGCATAGCTCAGCAATAACCAAAAAATACCTGGATTATCAACACTCTTTTCAGCACAAATCCAAAACACAGCCCCATACCAGCTACTATGAAGAAAATTAACTCTAGCCTACTAAGACCAGCAAGAAGTAAAAGTAAGTTTGTATTATAATCCTTTATGTTATGCATTATAGTTTTCTATTAAGTTTTTTTAAGTTTGCAATGCTAAGGAAAAGAAGCCATGGACTTAACTTTGAACTTAGATTTGCACATTTGCATGAAATGAAGTATATGATACTGTTTGTAGCAGGAAGTACACAAGACTTTAAAGAAGTTCCTGTTATCTATTGTATCATAAAGTGAATGAAACTGTGAAAAACCTACCAGGGGTTGAGAATTCATGGATTACTGTTAGTACTTCTGGTGTTGCTTATGGTTTTTATTTGGTATTCAGTGTTTTATTCAGTATTTTCTCGTTACTACTTGACCTCTGAAACCAGAGTTTGATCTGCTCATATTTCTGATGGATGATTTTTTGCATTCTTCTTTGCACTGTGATTTCAGTGGGAAGTTTTGAGAGCATCACCTGCAGACTAGTAGCTAGAGCACCTTCTAT